TAAACTTGCCCTGTATTAAGGTTGTATGTCTGATGTGTTGGATAGTTCCTTTGAAAATAAATTGTCTGATGAGTCGTTTTATTCGTTTGAGAAACTGGGGTGGTGGGTCTATCGTTTGTGTGACGTAGTTAATTTTTGGAATGACGAATGTGTTGATTAGAATACTGCGGCCGAAAATTGTTGTCTGTTTGTAATAGAGTTTAGGTAAGAGGTTTTGGATCTGCTCGACAAGGTCATTCCATTTAGTTGGGGAGTTTTGGTCTCTTGATTTCCTATAGTAATTGCCGAAAATTTTTATTTCTTGCACCCAATTTAATCGGATCGGATCGTTTGCCCTATCTTTCCATTTTCCTAACTTTATCGCCTGACTTTTTGTTTCATTAATTTCTGATCCGCTCCCCCTGCCAAAATAACGAAAATGATTAAGGATCTGTAGTATAGATTTAGAAATAGTTGGGGGAAAATTTGTGTCGTCCGCGAACGCTATTTACTTTTGTTCCCCACCCCCCCTCCCGGGAGTTTGATACCTGCAATCTGTGGGTCTTTTCGGATTGAATTTAGTAAAGGTTCTAAACTTAATACATATAAAGTGGGAGGGAGTCTCCTTGTCGAACTGATCTTCCTATATTGAAGGCATCTGACAGGGTATGGTTTACTAGAATTTTTGATTGCGGTTTGTTATATAATATTTGAATCAATTTCTGAAACGTTGGGCCTTAATTGCTTCTTTCTAAAACTTTGTGTAAAAACGAATGAGACACTCTGTCAAATGCCTTAGTCTGATCTAGGGAAAGTATGCATGTGTCTAACTGTTTGTCTTCTGCGTATGTGATAATGTCCCTAAGTGTGTGGTTGTGATTTTGTATTGTTCTACCGTGTACTGCGCAGGCTTGGTCTGTGTGTATTAAGTGTTGCATGAACGGTCTCAACTTTCGTTAGGGTCTTGGAGATAATTTTGTAGTCTACGTTTAATAAAGATATGGGACGGTAGTTTTTCATTTCCAGAGGGGAGCCTGAGTCTTTCGGAATGAGGGATATGTACGATAAGTTTAGTGACGATGGCAAACATTCTAACTCATAGCTTTCTTTTACTATCGCTGTAAAGAGGGGGGCCAAAACGGGGAAGAAAGTGAGGTAAAACTCGACTGTTAAGCCATCGGCGCCGGGCGAGGTGTTTTTCTTCATCGAGTTGAGTGCGATTTGCAGGTGTGTTCTGGAAATATCTGTCTCGGGGATTTGTTGTTGTTCGTGCGTGAGTTGCGCAGTGTGTTGCATGTAATTGTCCTGAACTGCTTCGTCTATATCTTGTTCAGCGTAAAGTGCGCTGTAGAAAGTTTGAAAGGCGTCTGTTATTTTGTGTGTGTCTGTTTGTGTATTGCCCCATTCATGTGTTAGTCGTGAAACACAACTGGAAAAGTTAGAGACCACACACACACACACACACACACACACACACACACACACACACACACACACACACACACACACACACACACACGCGCGCACGCACGCACGCACGCACGCACGCACGCTCGCACGCACGCACGCACGCACACACACACACACACACACACACACACACTCTATCTCTCCCTTTCTCTTTTTCTCTCTCAATCTCTGTCTCCCACACTCTCTACGTTCACTCACACACACACACACACACACACACACACACACACACACACACACACACACACACACACACACACACACACACACACACACACAATCTATCTCCCTTTCTCTTTTTCTCTCTCAATCACTCTCTCCCACACTCTCTACGTTCACTCACAACCCTCTCTCGATCCCTCGTCTCTCTCTCTCTCTCTCTTTCGCTCTTACTATCTCTCTGTCTCTCTGTCTCTCTGTCTCTCTGTCTTTCTGTCTCTCTCTCTCTCTCTCTCTCTCTCTCTCTCTCTCTCGCTCTTACTATCTCTCTCTCTCTCTCTCTCTCTCTCTCGCTCTTACTATCTCTCTGTCTCTCTGTCTCTCTGTCTCTCTGTCTCTCTCTCTCTCTCTCTCTCTCTCTCTCTCTCTCTCTCTCTCTCTCTCTCTCTCTCTCTCTCTCATAAAATTATATTATTAAAATGGTGCTGGATTATAGAAATAGATCTATCTCTTGGTTCTAAATTTCCGAGGCTTAATTCAGACCCACTTGTATTTTATGAGTGCGGATGTGTCCTTGATTCGATTTTCTTTTTTTTTTTACTCTTGGCTATTGCGTATGGGTGGCTGATGTAGATCTATTTCCTGGTGTGGTGTGCTCTCATTCGTTTAAAATGTGGTTGGTTGGCGGGCGCTCTGGCGTTGTCTGCCCCTTGTCCATTTTTTCCTTATCAAATCTTCCTATCTATCTATCGTCCTTACAATTTATTTTCCCCCGTATGTTACTCTCAAGCAAAACCTCTGACCTATGGCGCTAATATTAATAATATGACCTACTTGTGTTGCAATTGCCATAAAACTGTTCCCAAAACGAATCTAAACGTAGCTGGTTGGCGGGTGCTCTGGTGTGGTTTGCTCTTTCTTTCCGATCGAACATCTGCGATCGCTCTTATCTTCTCCACCTTCTTTAATGTGTTTGTTACCATCTTGTAGTGCCTCTAATCTTCAGTATTTATATGACCTACTTGTGTTGCAAGTGCAGTAATTTTAAAACTCTTATCAAAACTAAACTAAACAACGTTGTTGTTTACCGCATCATCTTGATGTGATGGGTGGTTGGACGGTGACACTGTTCGACCCTTCTTTCTTTCTTTCCTGTCTTTCTCTTTCTTTCTTTCTTTCTTTCTTTCTTTCTTTCTTTCTTTCACTCAGTCGTTTCTATCTGTCTATCTTACCTATTCCCCTGTACTAAATGATCGTTGCTTTTATTGTTATTATGTCGAGGTTTTTCCTCACAGAAATTAATTGTTTGACATCACAATGACTCAACAGCTGCAGTTGTCCTACAAATGAAGCAGAGTTGACTTTTTGTTCCAAGAATCTCACTATACTTTACTTTTGGGGCTCTCGTGGCCTTTCATTCAAAGGTCCCGGGTTCGAATCCAGGTAGCGACTGAACAATTTTCTTCTCTTAATTTGTCTCCTTTCACCTCATTTCCTGCTCTCTAGCAATGTTCTGTCGTCTGCTTTCGTCTCCTCTTTCTGCCCCCACCACCTCACCTCCTTTGCCCCTTCCTCTGGGCTCCTGATTCTTTCTGCAGCCTTTCTACTGCTACTCCTTGGCTTCTTACTGCTGTCTTTCAGCCACACCCCTGATCTTCTGGTAGGAAAGATCTACATCTAGCCTTCTTGGACAAGGGCGAAAAATCTCGGAGGGCCCGTGTGCAAGTTGCGCACGTTAAAGATCCCTTGGTGGTCTAAAATCGATAAGAGTAGGCTTCGGCCGCCACCCGGGCAACATTCCAAATGTCCTACCTATTGAAAATGTTTGGCGTGTCCCGCGTGCTCATATGACCTTATGCAGTTGCGAGCGCCGTAAAATACTAACAACCCCCCCCCCCCCAAAAAAAAAACCCAACCGCTTTACTTTCTTTGCTAGTTGATAGTTGAAATGGGGCATTGGTTTTCACCTAAGCAATCCATGACAATTCCGTCTGGGTGTGTCCACCAAAATGGCTCAACACATGACAAAAGACTGGTGGGTTGGAATGTCCCATGCAGCATTTCAGTTTGGCCGTGTGGTGACTCATCAGCCATAGGCCCAGCCAGAACTAATAAACAAAAATTAATATATTCTAATTTTCAATTTGGATGGTGTGGTCGCTTGTTACGGAAGTGCTTCCTTTTTAAAAATTAGGCCTACCTGTTCTAAGGTAGGCCAACAATACCAAAATTATTTGAAAATAGTCTTGTTTTAAAGACAGACACCGAATGTTGACCTAGGCTCTGGCCACACTGATTGAAGCAGAGCGAACACAGCAGAGCGCGACAGTGAAAATACAAAGACAGACTGAAAGAGGTGACTGGTGGTGCGACTCGAGGCGGGGGGTCAAAAGCAAAGATGGCGGTTTATTTATTGCCGCTGGCTTAGCTTGAAATTTGCTGAATAGAAGAAAAAAAAAAAGGGGGGGGGGGGGGGGGGGGTGAAGAAGTCAATGAACGCCGGGCGGGAAACAGATGAAAAGTTCTTTAAAAAATAACATAGATCTTGATCTAGATTAAATCTAGATCAATGTTGTAAATTTATTAAAATGCATTTAAACCATGTGGTTTGCCTGTAGGCTTTACTAAAGCCACCTGCAGTCTGCTAGCTCTATGTGGAGCAAGTTGGATGTCTAATGAGATGAAGGGTTTGAAAAGGTTCAGGTCGTATCTGAATGTAGGAAACATTTTTCCTCATCCCTTAAAATTTCACCCAGAAGATTATTTTCCAAAAAAAAAAAATCACCTCTTCGTAGAGTAGAAAATATTACCGTTTTGGGACGCGCCATCTTTTCATCCAAAACAAGAATTGAAAAGCCTTCATTATTGCTCAACACAGGGGTTGCAAACTCAATACGATGTAGAAGATCTAGATCTACAGTGTTAATGACAACACCGGATGTTAGGAACGGATAACGAGCGGAGACAAAATTATGTCACATTCGTTTCTCCCCCATTTTTATGTCGATCAGGGAAAAGGTAGGCTGGAAAAGAAAAGGAGCAGAGAAGAAAAGGAATGTACTCAGTTCATGCGTTTTCTCGGCACGCACACAAGAAAGCAGCTTCGATTTGGAATTGCGACCCAACCAGTTTCCCTTTGGCCTTTCTCTGTATACAATGGTATTTTTTGTCCATTGCCCATTTATACGAGATTGACGCCATCTAATTAGTGGGAAAGATGTGTATGGTGGTATCCAATGGTGTATAACGAACCCATGTGTAACCTACAGGCAGATTCAAGGAATATAGATGCATATCAAGGATATGAGAGAAGGACATGTTAATATAGATCTAAATGGTGAGTGATGATGAGGGGTGGTAATATATATATTGAAAAACTGGAAAACATTGAATTAACGCTTTTCAAGTTTTATTCAGATTTTTTAAAATTCGTTTGGTGAGGACACATTTTCATACCAATTCCATGGATTGGTAGACAAAAAAAAAAAGAATTTAATTACCAGAACAACATTTTATGTAGTTTTTTTGGCGTACATATCGTACCATCAATTACCATCGAGGGTTGTGAATAACAATTTGAAATACTAAGCAAACTGAACAAGGACGACATACAAATCGTCTAAACATTTTGTAATTTCACAGAGTTTCACCTTTGGTACGTAGTCTTGTACAAATCTGATCAAGTGCTGCAAGGCAAAGTAGAGACGAAGAAAGACACTGATGAACGTGAAATCCAGTGATCTACAACTTCATAAAAGCACAAATGGTCTACAACTTTATATAAAACAATAGAGCTACATCAACAGCTGTCTCACAATGCGTCAACAGCGGTCTATAACAAATACAACAGTTGTCTACAACATCATAAAACAACCAGCCAACAGTGGTCTACACAATACGTCAACAGAGACCGGGGAAGACGTGGGCCTGCTGCGGCAAGAAGTGGAGCACCAACGGACGAACAGAGTGACCGATGGGACGAGGTCTTGTGACGTCACCCGTGTAGACATGGCCTGGACGCCCTCCCTGGCGTGGCCACACTTCGTGGAGACAATTCCCGCGACAACTGTACACACCTGGTCATCCAGCTCACCCACAGCAGGGGCTCACAATCTTCCTGTACCAGAAATGTAGAAATGTGTCCGTGAAGGGTCGACGCAACATACAAAGGGTAGCCAAAAGTAGGTATACTAATACAGGAACATTGTTTTATTAGTCAATTAGTGTACGTTGTCCAGTGTAATAAGCATAGCCATTAATCCCTCCCCCCATACTCAAACAGTCTTCCGTGTGTATGCAGTGCTAATTTTAAGTGCAGGTAACAATGCGATACTGTATATCTACTTCGTATATAATTTTTTAAAGACAAATGATTTGATTGATTGAACAAGCCTCTCCAAATTAACAGTACTATTGATACAAGTACATGTATGTGAAGCGCATAAAGCGCGTTATGGACTTCCTGACTCCCCACGAGTAATTAAAAGACAGGAATGCAAATTATAATGTTCACAAATTTGCACTTTTAAGGACAAGCGGGCAACGCAGATTTCGGGGGTTTCCAGAAATCTTGACCTTCACACCAAAAGTGGGCATGGGCATTGTCCTACCTTTGGGAGAAGTTTTGGTTTCATTGGTGTGTATTTTTTGTTATAGAGAAACTGAACAAGGGTCAAAAAACTTGTACCTTTGATTTTCTCAAACAGCGTTTTACGGGATAGCCCCCTGTGCTTAAAAGCAACCAAATATGGTAACAGTTTTCAGCGATATAAGGGGGGGGGGGGGGGGGGCTCAAATTTATTTTTTAAAACGGAATTTCTAGACAAAAAAGCCTTTAGTGTGAACAGAGCACCACGTAGAATCCTGCACATGACAATAGACCCCGATTTTCTGATTTTAAAAAATAATTGAGCTTTGCCCGAGCAGGATCCAGGGCACTAGCCAAAGTCAAGACGATCGAGAAAATACCGAGAAAAAAATATGAAATACCCCGAGAACAAAAATATGAAAGCGTTAACAGAAAAAACATTCACCCCCTAAACAGTTATTGGAAACCCCAAGAATAACCCCTAGATCCAGAGTAGAAACGAATATTCTAAAGTCACTGGAAAGGCCCAGGATTACGTCTAGATCCAGAGAAGAAAAGAATATTCTCAACAGTTATTGGAAGCCCCAGAGGTACCTCTAGATCTAGTTTTCAGCGTTGTTGGAGCGGCAGATGAGGATGCACAGACGGTCTTTAGGAATATGCTGCAGCAGTTGAACCAGAAGTGACCCGCGTTGTTGGACCAAGTTCTCACACTTAGGCCTCAAGGGAACGGGGGCGAAGTCACACAACCTGTCTAGGCCGCTCTCAATCTGCGCCTATTGATAAACAAATTCGATAAGTCTACAGTAGAAATTTTTTTTTCCTGCAAATGAACGAGGCAAGATTTTAAAAGGTTTTGAGTCGAATTTTTATTATGGCTTTCTGAAGCCGTTTATCAATCTTTTTTAAACACACGTAATAAAACAATTCCTCCGTGACAGTCTTAGGTGTAAACATGAAAATTTTAATTAAAATCGAATAACGAAAAGCAGAAAAAAGAGGAAGCGTGAAAAATAGAGAAAACGGCTCATATATATCATAAAGGAGGCCTGCATAAGGGAGGCCTGAATAAGCAAAAACCTTCAAAGCAGTTCAAACCAAAACATGGCTACAACTTAATATTCACCAAAACATGGCCACAACTTAATATTCACAGCAGAAACTGAAGCATATCAGCGGTAAAACATGCTTTTAAGACATTTTCTCCAAAAGTCTCTTCCACCTGGCTCTAAAATCTTTTTAAACACTATGTTGCAGAGACGCATAGATACTTTTTTGGGCAATTGTTCATGAAATACAACTAGGGATGACCCCAGTTTTCACCCCTAACACCCCTAACTGGATTTAAAATATTGATACTTTTCAGTCTGACTCCGTATCCAAAGGGCTTACCGGGGAGCTCTCTTGCAGCAGCTGCCTCAGACGTTGCACGACTCTCTCGCACAAGAAACACAAGCGTCCTCCTCTCTCCGCCTCCTCGGGCACTGAGAGAAAAAAAAGAAACAAATAGTGTCACACGGACATTCAAAGTTTATAGGACTAAAAGTAATGTGTTAAGCCTATAAACATCTGAAATTCTCTTCTGACATCAATTTACAATAGGCTGTTTGATGAAAAGTTCCGGTTCGCCTTCAACTCAATGAGGACGTGCATTCTGCTCATTCGACTACGCTTGAACACTTTTGAGCATTTTTTTTTTTTAACCGGATAATTTCGTTATTTACACAGATTGTTCAATTCTGTCCTATAAGGGCAAACAGCAACAGGCAGGAAATATGAAAACGCAGGTTCATGTTTTCATTCGTGTATGATGGTTCGAAATGTACCTCATGCCTTTGGCGTGCTGCTGATCGGACCGATGTCCGTTACGTCTGCTTTTGATTGATTGAGTAGATCAAGGCGTTTTACGGCACTATTGAATCAATTTGATCTTGCAAGTGCCATCAAGTTTTAGTGCAACAAATCTATTATATGAAAAGGACGGACAGAGATACAAAAAAATATTTGTAAATATGTTATACGACATTTACAAGGGTATTTACAATATCAATTTCAGCGTTACGTCTGCAAAGCGGGAAGTTTCTTCGTTCGGGCACTACTTACGGTTCTATCATGTCGATGTGCTCTTTCTCAGACACTCCCCCCCCCCCCCCCGCCCTTCCAAGAACAAGTACTCGTATAAAGTCTACTTACCTTGAGCACCAATGACCACGAGGGACATGGCAAGCAGGACGACACTCATGTAAGTTTTCATTTTGTCAGTATGGTATGCTGAAAAGAATAGGGGTTAAAAAAAAGAATGAACGAACAACCGGATGAATATATACCCACCAATTGCATGAAACAAAATGGACATTACTTATGACATGTGACACAGACAGCAGCGTCTTTCCTTCCCGTAAAGTGTTGCGCCTTTGTCCAATAGTAGACCACAAGGCTAGTATAAGAAATAAAAGGAGCAAAGTGGAAAGTAAACGAGGTACTCACCTACAACTTGTAAACGTTTTATGCAATGAAAATTCTGAAATTATGCAAACTGAGCCCAACAATTTGAAATTATGCGATTCTGTTAATTTTAAGAAAGAATGATAATGGAAAATAATCAGAAATTACGAGAGAAAAAAAAGATAAATTTAGCTAAATTATGCAGGGTGCATAAAACCACGGTGACAGCCCAATTGTAGACCACAAGGCTAGTATAAAAAGTAAAAGGAGCAAAGTGGAAATGAAACAAGGTACTCACCTACAACTTGTAATTTTTCAACAGCTGGGGTTCTGTCTACGTTTTAGTGTCGATTGAGTCTGTGAGACGGGGTTATATACCTGACCGCCGTCCTTCCTCCCACCCATGGTCTGTTCAAACGAGGGCGAAAATCACGCGAAAAGGGAAATTGGAAGAAAATTATATATTCTTTTCACGTGAACTCTGTACTGCACTGTCATGGGTTGTTCTTTATTTCTTTTCAAATCTTCTCTTTCTTGTGTTCGTTGTGACTGCCCTGTTTGTTGGTCTTAAGGTGCGTGCCCACAGACCACGGAAAACAGCGGAACAAAACGTCGTGTTTGTTTGCGTCACTTTCCGTGAGGAAAAGATACAACAGTGGAAATCTCCAATATAAATCTGTACATGTGTTTCAGTCGGTAGAATCTAAGTGCTCCCACACTCCATGCAAAGGACAACCATAGAAATAGGCGTTTTAAAAAATCCGTATCATCATCCAGTGCCAGATCTGCGACAGACATCGGCGATCATAGTTCTCCATTCATTCCTTTGTTTGGATGCTCTAAAAAAATATACGTTTCCCTGATCTTTCCCTGTTATTACCCATTTGTTTAGGTTCCCTAGGTATGTTGTTCTGGGCCTACTCCTGCCTCGCTTGCCCTCAATTTTGCCAGTGAGAGCTAGATGCACAAAACATTTATGTCTATTCAGGTGTCCGAAAAACTGCATATATCGTTTCCTGATTGTTTTTAACATTGAGCGTCCCACGTGGGCTTCATCAAGCACTACCTCATTTGATTTCTTTTCCTTCCTCGATACTCTTAGCCGTCTCCTAAGAAACCACATTTCTGTTGCTTCTATTTTATTTTCACTGTCTTTGGTGATTGTCCAGCATTCGCTGCCATATAGAAGGGTTGACCAAACACATATTTTCAGCGCGCGTATACATGTAGACTGTCCCTCTGAACTAGGTCTAGATCTAGATTTGACAGTTGAATGACAGGTTGAACTTTACTTTAAGTGCCATGTTGTGAACGACTGCCGTTATAAATTCCAACATGTTTTCTTTGGATGAAAAAGTTTTAATCTTGGATAGCGTTCTTCCTAAATCAAGGAAGTAACGAATTGACGTGCAAATGCTACTTACTTTCATGTTGTTGTTTTTTATTATCCCAAAGGCGATTTCTTTCCACAGCTTGTCTGTCTTTATTCGATTTGCATAAAATTCATCTCTTTTATCCCGTGCGGAAGATCGTTTGCATACAACGGAAACCAAGGCACTGTTCACGCTAAAATAACAAAATATGTGAACAACTGTGTTTCTTGAACACGCACGCACACAACACACACACACACACACACACACACACACACACACACACACACACACACACACACACACATACATACACTCACAAACGCGCACGCACACACAACAAAGAGAGCTCACTTCTCAACTCAATAACTACAATCTGTGGATTTTTAAAAAACAGCATTATTACTGATTTTTAAAAATACTTCACAAACTCAAATTCTTCTTGGTGAACCTGTAGAATTTGGATCGCTGATTTCAAATATCTAATCCGATTTTGTCTACGACGTTTCCTTGTTGAGACAATGGTCTGTTGAAGAAGTCCCCAGTCCAGCCCTATGACGTCACACATCCAGTGATCGACCAACTGACGGGGCACTCCTTTGCACCGAGCAACGGCTTACGGTGAGAAGGAATCACCATTTCATTCCTATAAAACAAGTCGCCTCCGATCATGCAGATCGGCGCAGAGAGTAGGTCGTGTCTCTGTGGCTTGTAGAAATTGTATAGATAGATTCCTATAACTTACGGCGCCATGTGGTTAGGTGACAGAAATCGGCCGCCTTTGTGTTTTCCCATTCACTCAGTTAGCACCGATAGGTATAAAAATTCCCTTATGATTTCCAACTTGCTCCACATAGAGCTGGCAGACTGCAGGTGGCTTTAAGCACCGATCAGCGCTGTCGGCTTTATCGGAATCCAAACTACATTCTTATTACGCCCAAAAACTGGGAAGGCGTCTCGATGTCAACTCACGACCTCGTGCTTTCTTGTCTTATCTCCATTTTTTAATGGTGAAAATGTGACTTCTTCTAAGCTCACTCTTTGCTGTGAACTGCTTTCACTGTTATTGAAAATGGAGACAAGAAAGCACTGAGGTCGCAAACTCATACCGTCTCGCCGTCGCCAACTCGGGTTGGGCGGTTTTGCGTGACGTCACCCGACTGGACAGGGGACAATTTTAAATGGCCATTTCAGAGCTGGTACTTCACGGTAGACAAAAACTAATTACATTGATTGTTTGAATGACATTGCAAGATTGGTGAATGAAAATGCTGTCTGTATTGTTGCACATTTGTGTGGTTAGAGAAAATGATGCCGTGATTAATGTTTCGATGTACGACTGGACTTCTTTTTGTGGTCACATTTTTAGTATCAAATTGTGCCGTCATTTTCACTTTGATACTAGCCCTTCAATTGCATGTAAAAAAATTATGTGACTGATTCTGTTGATCAGCATGTTTTGAAGAATCAGTTTGATGCTAATGAAATGCCTGAACAAATTGACTCTACCAGACAATTGGTATAAGAAATATCAGGGATTTTGTTTCGAATGGTTTTTAAGATTAATTGGCTCTTAAGCCATCATGTTTTCCACCCAGACCAAAACATTAAGACAGTGGTGAAGGAGAAGCACATGGGCCATCTAGCTCTAAAGTTGCAAAACTTTGGGGAAATGGCAAAGGAAAGGGATCGGGGAAGAGTATAGATTAAAACAGTAACATTTTTTGCCTATTACATTTGCATTGTATCTACCTATTGATCTTTTGTTAGATGGTGTTATGTTATAAGATGAACATTCTTTTATTATTGTCAGGATCAAGTGGTATCTGTGTATGTGAGTATGAAGGCCTGTATGAGTATTGCATATCATTTGCAAAGTGCTTTGGTGGTACACTTACCATGTAAAAATGTGTACCTATTTTTGTTTTGTTTTTGTTTAGTATAGGGTATTACGGCGCTCGCAACTGCATAAGGTCATATGAGCGCGCGGGACACACCTAATACTTTTTCGTTGGTAGGAAATTTTGAATTTTGCCCGGGTGGCGGCCGAAGCCTACTCTTATCGATTTTAGACCACCAAGGGATCTTTAAAGTGCGCAACTTGCACATGGGCGCTCCGAGATTTTTCGCCCTTGTCCAAGAAGGCTAGATGTAGATCTTTCCTGCCAGAAGATCAGGGGAGTGGTAGAAAGACAGCTGTAAGAAGGAGTCAAGGGGTAACAGTAGAAAGCCTGCAGAAAGAGTCAGGAGCCCAGAGGAGGGGGCAAGGGGGGTGAGGGGTTGGGGGCAGAAAGAGGAGACGAAAGCAGACGACAGAATATTGCTAGAGAGCAGGAAAGGGGGTGAAAGGAGACAATCTTAGAGAAGAAAATTTTTCGGTCGCTACCCGGATTCAAACCCGGGACCTTTGAATGAGAGGCCAACACCTTAACCTCTAGGCCACGAAAGCCCCCTCCAGTACCTACTTTACAATAGCCTTGAAGTATAGATTATGGTTTAACACCCATATCAACCCTATTAAGTTATTCAAGAGGAGGGAGATAGGAATTGTCCGTCTCCGATAATACCAAATCAATTTAATGAGTGAGAGGCTTGAAAACTCCACAGAACAACCCAAGCCCAAGTTCAAGAATGCCCAGTCAGGGATTTGAAACAGGGCCATCTACTCCACCGCCCAGCATGATACTTACTAAGCTACTGTAGTGTCCATCCCACAGCTCATGTACTGGTAATAAAAAATTAATGACATCTTTACTAATGTGTATAGTATTTTATCTGCTATACGTGGACTTGGATACCCACAGAAACTATCTTTTCGAAGATAACCCAAATTTAGAAAGCCCATTGACATGTAACAGGTTCCCCTGAACTATAATAAATGTGTATATAACTGTTGTTCTATTTATTGATGCGTCTGACTTGTTTCCTTCTTCAGAGATGATATTTCTTTCATTTTTTAAAATGAAATGCTTGGTTCTGTCAATGCGTTGCAAAAAACAATGACATACTATTCTTTGAATAGCATGCTAGCTAAGAGTGACAAGAGCAGTTGGGAAGGTGGCATTAAATTTTAACTTCAGTCTCTGGAAGAACATGACTGTAGGCCTTTATGAAAATCCTCCAACACAATAAGAAGTAATTGGCAGGAACTGAGAAGGCTTAGGCCTGAACCAATAGTATTATATTCGTACCAGGATAACTTGCGTTGAAAGCAACCAAGCTATTGACTGATTTAAAGGAACTGTGTAATCCCTATACATTGTTGTATTTGTATTATGGAAATACAAGGAATACTTTTGATGTGTTTCAAATACGGTTTTGGAAATAAGTGTTGTTGATATTATACAAAAGTCACTTTATTGTTCTAAGAAAATACTCAATTTTGAGAGAAGAGTAGTTTACACCACGATCCTTGCACTTTCAGGTGCATCTACATTTATTCGAAAGCTCATATTTATCATGACGTGATTGATTTTGAATTAAGGGCGTTAAAAAACAAATTAACGACACAAATGTGTTTTTTTTTCATTTTTCTCGACTGCCTGGAAAAATGTGTGTGTGGAAGAAAGGCTGTATCTTTCTTAAGATTCAGTAAATATTATTCAAACAATATACACATTAATTAAGAATGATTGTACTTCAAGTTTAACCACATTTGACACCTGTTGAGTTGATGCCTGGTGAATATTTGCAATGAGAACTTCTTCAAATTTTGAATGGCTTTTTCTCAAAACTGATTCTCTGAACCCAACTAACTTTAAACAGATAACTTGGGAACGAAGCCATAATTTTTAAATTAAATAAAGACCAGGCTGTTCAGAAATGAATGCCCTTAAAAAAAAGTAAAAACAAACCCCAAAAAAATTCTCCATAAGACTGATTTTTCCTAAATCACGCCACATTTCTGAACAAAAAACCCCTTCAAAGGTCATCCACGCTCATGCATGCGATCACATCTCGGCTCTAAATCTCGATGCGAGGTACAAGTTAATTGCTCCAGACGCAAGGAGTTTACAACAAAGGGATCACGCCCAGGTGTGAACTCCTCGACGCCTTTGATTTTGCCGAACATCGAACTCGCAATAAGAACCTACCGCCTGAGCAATACAGCCAATGCACGATTGTTAGGTAGGGCCACAGAATTCTACACTTAGTGTGGAATTCTGTGGGTAGGGCCAACAAGGCTGCCTCATACCCATGTCCATCAAATTATCAGGGAGGTATGTAGAATATAAAAATATTATAGGCCCTACATGTCTACATGATTGCCCATCACCTGGAACGGCAGCTGAATGATCGCCTCATTCATAAGGACTGAGGAACGCAACGACACAAGCTAACAAAGACTGTACTAGATCTATTCCTGCATCAATAATAGTAAGTTTTGTTCTCATTCTAAAAGTCCAAAGGTGCTGTTATGTCGGTCTTTAAATATTTGAAATCATTGTGTTCTCCACTTCGTGAAAAACAGGAAACAAAACTATTGTAATCAATAATAGGCCTATTATTAATTATAGACCAAGACATACTGTTAGCAATCAGATAAAGCTGGCATCACCCTCTTTTGTGTTTGCTGTTCCTTACACCTAAAGGTAGTTATGGGGCACGCCTGGATTAATCATTCAGTCATATCTTAAATTCAGTTTTAAAAAATACTTTTTTTCACCGTTTCTTATCATAATATAATCTTTTAGCGTCTTGAAATACATGTATTATCTTTATAATTTGGTATGTTCGATAATTTTTTGTTACTTAGACACGTTTTCTTCTTATTTAGCCCATCTTTTTAATTTTTAAACTACTCGTACAACACAAAACTCTTAAATAATTGAACAGTCCGTATCACATACAGAATTTTTTTTTCTCTCTCAGTCATCTATCCGTCATCCCGCCAGTTGATCACAATCTCTCTCTCTCTCTCTCTCTCTCTCTCTCTCTCTCTCTCTCTCTCTCTCTCTCTCTCTCTCTCTCTCTCTCTCTCTTCTCTCCCTCTTTTATTTAATGTTTCCCGTTCTCCTTCGTCCCTTCCTAAGGCCCGCCCCACCTCTTTCATCCCAGCCCCATCCCTTCTTCCTTGCGTGGATTCCCCCACCCCGCCAACCCCCACAACGTGGCCCAGCCCTAAAAGATTCTATAAAAAGAAACACCACAGTTCGCGAGTTTAGATCATAGTCCGCGGCCATATTTACTCCCCACCTCGGCGTGCCACTCATGGCACCGCGAAGAGAGAGAGAGGAGGGTCCATAATTTGGTGTAAGGTCCTTGAGAAAATTCAACTCAAGCTTGTGAAAAGAGAGCGTGGCCAATTTGGCAAAAATTAGCTAGCTGATGCTAGCTTCCGGCGGACCTTTATCAAAGATAGTATTTGCCCTTATTACAAGGAACTGCCAGTTTGGTCATGTTAGAAGCGAGAGTGGTTTGCAAACCTTACATAATGTAGAAATTTGTATGAAGTCACTAGCCTACCATCGATCTGTTTTCAGACCCAATTCAAGTGAAAGTAGACTTAGATCTGCTGTAGAATCTCTTAGTTGGTCTTCTCAGATATTACACAAAAGAACATATAAGATCCAGTTGATCCCCTGAAAATTTTCTGCCGGTTTCTTTTCTGTTATTTTCATGCCGACCTGTTCTCTGCGAAATGTTGCTAAAACAAGCCGACTCGCAGTACACTACTCTGCAAAGCTGATACAAATCAAATCGTTCGATTATAATAGTTTTTTGGGGAAATAACACTTAAAATGAGATGAGGAAAGGGGATTAGGGAGTGACTTATAGGGCAGTGAGCGTTAATATGATCGTGGAGTACGCTTTTTGAAAAGTTCGATTACAAAGATTAAAAGGGTATAACAATACATGTATTCAGTTATGCTTCTTGCCATTGTGTATAGGCCTACTGTTTAAAAGGGGGTAACTCTATGCCTTGGACTGAGATTGAACTGGAACTGGCAGGCAACCAGAGGTTTTTTTGCAGGCAACTGACTGACAGATGCCCCAGAGGCGACAATCTGGCAATCATACGCCATTTTCTTTTTCATTGATAGAGTTCTTTCTATGTGATGCACAGAAAGCGTGGTTTGATTATCATCAATTTGAAACCATGAGCGACGAACAAGCAGAAATTAAGCTGGGTAAGTACGTTGGTCTTCCTTTTGCCATTTATTTGACTGATTTTAGTCCCCTCTGAGCTGAAACATATCCACGTTAATGCAGGAGCCAAGGAGGAGAGGTGTTGGTTATTCAATTATTGGATTATTGTTGGATGCACGGAAGGAGGCTAGAAATCTGATTATTTTTTAAATTTTTTTAAGTGCAGGCCTATCTAATCTAGATCTAGATTTCTAGATCTAGAGATCTAGAATGGTATTTTTTTACTTTCCCTCCCGTCTCACACTCAGCTACCAATTGTTTATTTTGTACTTCTAAATATTGATGCGCTGAACTGCCTGAACACGAATATCAACTTCATTTCCGTCGCAAATTAATAGTTTTTGAAATATTTGATTGTTTTTAACCGAGATAGACATGCTTTGGACCAATCGGGGGGTTCCAGGAGGGCCTGCCCCACTGGGGTAAAAGAAAATCTGGGGGGTTACAGGGGGGCATGCCCCCCTGTTTTTACCCATAGTTTGATATTTTACAGTTAGATTTGAAATTGTCTTGAAAATAATTGCTTTGCGACAGTTTTAGTGGCTTTATGTGTGATCTGCAGCAAACAGTACAGCAGTTTGACCCCTGAAACAGTGCATCTGTGTGCGGGAGTGAAAGTAAAAATTTACCTCTAATCTAGAATCTAGTTTAGATCTAGATTCTAGATTCTAGATCTAGGGAAGGACTTCCGTAACGAGCGACCACCCAATCAAACACAATAAAGAAGAGGCCTAGACCTAACCCTCCCCCTACCCCTACCCCTACCCCTACGGACCCCTACTAACCCTAAAGTAGCCCTAACCCTAACCCTACCCTTACCCCTACCCCTACCCCAAGCCCTCAATTCCGCTCTGTCTCATAGTGGTCGCTCGTTACGGAAGTCGGGAAGATTGAAGAATGGCCACCTCTATTCTCACCCGGGGTGAGAATAGTGCAGGCGAGTCTTTTGGCTATTCTCACCCGGTGCGCGTTCACCGTTATAATAAGTTATAGCCTAGATCTAGTCTAGATCTAGATCTAGGCCAACAAATTTTGCGTTCACCCTAATCCCTAAACCACAGAATTCTACACTGTGATAACTGAAAAATTGTAGAATTCTGTGCCGTGAACAAACGTTCCAAGTACTGTAGCCTACTAGAAGCGTACAATTTGTGGGCAGTGGAGAGAGAGAGAGAGGAGTAGCGCGAGAACTTCCGGGCAAAACAAAATGGCGACCCGCGTAGTTCGGCTCGATTCGAAAAGT